GGGTTTGGGTGCCTCGGCACCAGTTCCATGCATAACAGCATGCATATAGCGTAGCATAGGCTCGCGATGTTTTAGGAATCAGTCTTATACCTTCTTTTTTCAGTCTCGACATGATGCCGCTGTCCAGCACACCCAGTTCTCAAATTATTATTTCGCACGGACGATGTTGCAGTCTGGATGAAAATAAGCGCTAACTGTGACATTCAGGAGACCCTACAGGCTGCCTCTCGCGGTGGCCTGCGTGCGTATTGGGACGGTAGTCTGTTCGTTTGCTAAATCCCCACTGATAGATAGATAGATAGATGGATGGATAGATAGATAGATAGATAGATAGATAGATAGATAGATAGATAGATAGATAGATAGATAGATAGATAGATAGATAGATAGATAGATAGATAGATAGATAGATAGATAGATAGATAGATAGAGGCTAAGGGTCTTTGGTACCGATAAGAAATGCTTCACAGTTAAAGTAATCTTATATGGCTATTTCTTAGCAGAAGTATGATTGCGAAACCAGCGCTATGTGAATATCGGTTTACCTGAAAGATGTGGTATCGTATACTCTGTCGGTAATTACTTCTGATTACATTGTTTCACACTTGATTTTCCATGTAAGCCAAGTGCCGAAATTCTCTTCGTGCTGTTCATGGTTCTACGTTATGTTTATCTCGAATATTTTCGAGGTATCACTGGTGCTTTATATTGGAAGGACCTGATCGGTCTTTTTTCTTAGTTTTAGTTCTCGTCTTTCTTAGTCTCTCCGAAACATGACCCTGTTTTTTGGCGCACCATTTGCACTGTGGTGGCGCCTATTGTATCAAAAAATAGAACCACCTCGTCTGCGTGGTATGAATGATGATGAGTGGGCGAAGCAGCAATGAGATCATTCGCTGTTATCCCAAACCATCCTTGACGTTGCCCACTCACGCATGTAAATGAGTGACAAAGCTATGTACACAGTTATACACACTGTTTATTGGTCAGAAACGGTATGGTATGTTGAGCTGATTTCGTTGCGCCTTTATTATTACTGCCTTGTGGTTCGCGAAATGTGGAGCCAGTGGTCCTTCTATCAAATATAGTGTGAAGTTGGCAAAGACGAGGTCTATGCGTATTCCTCTGGTGGTCGTGGGTGGTTTCCAGTCATAAAAAAGGCACTGCAAAGCGTATCGAGGCGTCATATACTGTACCAGCCAATCGTTGTCCTTGGTGTCAAAGTTTAAGTCTCCAACAAGCATACGAGTCCCCGAACTCCGGGTCTTTCGTCATTTTTGTCGCTTTGCCGCCAATCCCTGTGCCTTACGTTCGTTTTCATTTATGACTGAAAGATAATATTCCATGGTCACTATCGTCATCGGGTACCTTGCATGTGCTAACGTGCTTCGTATTCATCGTTATCAGCGTCATCAGCATCGCCGGACCACGGACAATAGGCAAGCGTAATTGATTTGTGGGGTTTAACGTCCCAAAACCGCTATATGATTATGAGAGACGCCGTAGTGGAGGGCTCTGGAAATTTAGACCATCTGGGTTTCTTTAACGTGCACCCTAATCTGCTGTTGAAGCACCCTACGGTGCTTCAACCGCAAATTGTCAGGCTTCATCGCAGATGTTCCGTCGCTGGTGTTCAAGTAAAAAATTGCACATCATTTTCCCCTACGTGCAACAATGGTGGGATGCGAAAGCTTCGCGTGTAGGTGCGCATCAAGGTTCTGTTTCGTTTGACTTGGCAATAACACACAACGAAAGTTAGAGAGAATGCACGAACACAGAGAGAGAGTGACGGAAGCACATCCAACGCAAGCTTTATACAGCGCCGCGACGCTTGTACCACCAACAGGCGTACCCTTAGTGAGAGAGTGAGAGTTATTTGCAAATATTTGCTGCGCCGAACCTGTGGTGGAGAGGGGGAGAGGGGAGAAAGAGAGCACACACCTGCGTGGGAGAAGAGAATGAGGCTATCATAGAGGGTACCATTATCACCATCGCCATCACCACCATCATATCAACATTATCGTCATCATCATTACCATCTCCACGAAGTGAACCATGGCGAGTGGCAGAAGCACTCATGGTCGTTCTTACCGTAAGCACCCTCGACATTGCCCACTATGGCATATAAATGAGCGGCAGCGCGTCTGTATAGTTAATACAAAGCGCTTTGCCGTGAGCCGCCTGTGCCTTCAACTCGTGGGCCTGCTGTTGGCGTGGCCGTTTTGCTGCTGCTTCCCGAGCTTCGCCTCCGGGGTAGCTTGCTGTCTGCGTAGCAGTTCAGCCACCGCATGCAGCGCACTCGCCTCCAGAGTAGCAGCTTGTTGTCGGCGTTGCCTTGCCCCACTCTTTCACGGGAGGAATTTCGAAAAGAGTGCAGATATAATGTACCCTGACAATACCTTGTCAACAGGCGAATTCAAAATACGTTGCACAGACGGACACTCTGCTGCATTTTTTTAAAAGTAATATACAGTATAATTGGGCTTCACACGAATAAAAGCACTGCCAATAAATAGCGCAAAAAACTTCAATCGTTGCATACACGAGCACCGCCCCGCCCAATAATGTCGTCAGTTTTCAATGCCAACGTTGCCATAAGATGGGGCACTTTGTGCTCTTCCCGAAGGTAACGAGCGAAAAATAAGAGGAACACTTTTGGAAAGAAATAGCACGTAAGAAAGGAAGTAGTGCACGTGGTTGAGAACAAATCGAATCTACACGCCGACCATCGCCTTATAAGGAAGGCATTACACCGTGGGGAAGTCGGCGCTATTGGTGAAGAGACGCGGCATGTAACGTATGTCCCAAACGGAGGTGCATCGCATTCAGTCGTAGAAGGAACACTTGGTCGCTGGGTTCATCTTGGAACCAACGGGCAACCGAAGGCCTTCGCGAACGGGGCGAAGTTCATCACTGCCTTGTTGCAGTCTCCACCGTAGAGATTGTCGGCTGGAGTCATGGAGCAACTGGAGAGGCAGGCGGTGATGAAGAACACCTTCTCCTCCGTTAACTCCTGCAATATAATGCAGCAGAAAGCTAACATGACACATTTGTGCAACAGGAAAACGAGGCCAGTTTTATGCTTTTTTCCCCAGATGGCGCGGGTTTCATTTATCCTCCAGATTAAATGAGAAAGCTATCCGTACGCTGTATAAAATGGCACCGTAAGATGCGATATTAAGATGATTTCGTTGCGCCTTTATTATTACTGCCTTGTGGTTCGCGAAATGTGGAGCCAGTGGTCCTTCTATCAAATATAGTGTGAAGTTGGCAAAGACGAGGTCTATGCGTATTCCTCTGGTGGTCGTGGGTGGTTTCCAGTCATAAAAAGGCACTGCAAAGCGTATCGAGGCGTCATATACTGTACCAGCCAATCGTTGTCCTTGGTGTCAAAGTTTAAGTCTCCAACAAGCATACGAGTCCCCGAACTCCGGGTCTTTCGTCATTTTTGTCGCTTTGCCGCCAATCCCTGTGCCTTACGTTCGTTTTCATTTATGACTGAAAGATAATATTCCATGGTCACTATCGTCATCGGGTACCTTGCATGTGCTAACGTGCTTCGTATTCATCGTTATCAGCGTCATCAGCATCGCCGGACCACGGACAATAGGCAAGCGTAATTGATTTGTGGGGTTTAACGTCCCAAAACCGCTATATGATTATGAGAGACGCCGTAGTGGAGGGCTCTGGAAATTTAGACCATCTGGGTTTCTTTAACGTGCACCCTAATCTGCTGTTGAAGCACCCTACGGTGCTTCAACCGCAAATTGTCAGGCTTCATCGCAGATGTTCCGTCGCTGGTGTTCAAGTAAAAAATTGCACATCATTTTCCCCTACGTGCAACAATGGTGGGATGCGAAGCTTCGCGTGTAGGTGCGCATCAAGGTTCTGTTTCGTTTGACTTGGCAATAACACACAACGAAAGTTAGAGAGAATGCACGAACACAGAGAGAGAGTGACGGAAGCACATCCAACGCAAGCTTTATACAGCGCCGCGACGCTTGTACCACCAACAGGCGTACCCTTAGTGAGAGAGTGAGAGTTATTTGCAAATATTTGCTGCGCCGAACCTGTGGTGGAGAGGGGGAGAGGGGAGAAAGAGAGCACACACCTGCGTGGGAGAAGAGAATGAGGCTATCATAGAGGGTACCATTATCACCATCGCCATCACCACCATCATATCAACATTATCGTCATCATCATTACCATCTCCACGAAGTGAACCATGGCGAGTGGCAGAAGCACTCATGGTCGTTCTTACCGTAAAGCACCCTCGACATTGCCCACTATGGCATATAAATGAGCGGCAGCGCGTCTGTATAGTTAATACAAAGCGCTTTTGCCGTTGAGCCGCCTGTGCCTTCAACTCGTGGGCCTGCTGTTGGCGTGGCCGTTTTGCTGCTGCTTCCCGAGCTTCGCCTCCGGGGTAGCTTGCTGTCTGCGTAGCAGTTCAGCCACCGCATGCAGCGCACTCGCCTCCAGAGTAGCAGCTTGTTGTCGGCGTTGCCTTGCCCCACTCTTTCACGGGAGGAATTTCGAAAAGAGTGCAGATATAATGTACCCTGACAATACCTTGTCAACAGGCGAATTCAAAATACGTTGCACAGACGGACACTCTGCTGCATTTTTTTAAAAGTAATATATACAGTATAATTGGGCTTCACACGAATAAAAGCACTGCCAATAAATAGCGCAAAAAACTTCAATCGTTGCATACACGAGCACCGCCCCGCCCAATAATGTCGTCAGTTTTCAATGCCAACGTTGCCATAAGATGGGGCACTTTGTGCTCTTCCCGAAGGTAACGAGCGAAAAATAAGAGGAACACTTTTGGAAAGAAATAGCACGTAAGAAAGGAAGTAGTGCACGTGGTTGAGAACAAATCGAATCTACACGCCGACCATCGCCTTATAAGGAAGGCATTACACCGTGGGGAAGTCGGCGCTATTGGTGAAGAGACGCGGCATGTAACGTATGTCCCAAACGGAGGTGCATCGCATTCAGTCGTAGAAGGAACACTTGGTCGCTGGGTTCATCTTGGAACCAACGGGGCAACCGAAGGCCTTCGCGAACGGGGCGAAGTTCATCACTGCCTTGTTGCAGTCTCCACCGTAGAGATTGTCGGCTGGAGTCATGGAGCAACTGGAGAGGCAGGCGGTGATGAAGAACACCTTCTCCTCCGTTAACTCCTGCAATATAATGCAGCAGAAAGCTAACATGACACATTTGTGCAACAGGAAAACGAGGCCAGTTTTATGCTTTTTTCCCCAGATGGCGCGGGTTTCATTTATCCTCCAGATTAAATGAGAAAGCTATCCGTACGCTGTATAAAATGGCACCGTAAGATGCGATATTAAGATGCGTACACATGCCTTATTGATATTTTGATAACTAGGTGAGAACTTGTTGAATTACAAATTACTGATTAATTATATCACATAACAAAAATTTAGTACTGGACACTCCGATGCACTGTGGACAACACCTACTAGGAGCTATTCGAATAACGCCCAGCCTATATGTATGTAATAATTTGACTGCGTGACAGTTAGGACCCGGAATATATGCGCTAGCTCGACACTCCATGCTGACTTACATTGCTTATGCCTACTGAAAATCGTGCCAATGTCAGGTAATGACACTTTAATAAAATACAGCTGAAGCATTTAAGCAAGACAGCCCAGATTGGTGTGCTGACGTAACTAAATAATCGATTCGTCATATCCCGTCTTCCTTGAGATCGCAATCGTAGTACAATTGTACAGGAATGTTTATTCTCGGAAGCGAAAAGTGTCGTGCGTATTACCACACACTTCTGACAATTGGGTGTCGTTTACATGGAAGTTCAGCCTGAAGGCTGCATAGGCCACTTCCATAGCGGGAACCTCTGGAAAGATGCTCTCGTTTCCAGGCAGGCAACCCAGAGTGCGCTGCTCGAATGTGTCCAGAACGTCGTCACTCATCAATGATGTGACGGTCTCGCCTTGGGAGTTAATCTGCGGAAAATATTTTTCTTATATTCTATACGCAATACAAAATCTTGCAGAGCGATAACGGTACCATGAACACGTGTGTTGGTGAAAGTGTGTACCAAGTTGCCCAAATGAACTCGCCTCAATCAACACAATACACAGCCCACACACTCACAACACACATTTGATAGATTGATTGATATGTGGGGTTTAACGTCCGAAAACCACCATGTGATTAGGAGAGACGCGGTAGTGGAGGGCTCCGGAAATTTCGGCCACCTAGGGTTCTTTAACGTGCACCCAAATCTGAGCACATGGGCCTACAACATTTCCGCCTCCATCGGAAATGGAGCCGCCGCACCCGGGATTCGATCCCGCGATCTGCGGGTCACCAGCCGAGTACCTTAGCCACTAGACCACCGCGGCGGGTCATCTAAATAGTCACTAACGGGCAATTATTTCTTTGAGCTTTCGATGGAGGTGGAAATGCTGTAGGCCTGTGTGCTCCAATTTGGTACACGTTAAAGAACCCCATGTGGTCGAAATTTCTGGAGCCCTGCACTGTGGCGTCTCTCATAATCACATGGAGGTTTTGGGACTTTAAACCCCACATATAATCATCATCAATTTTCTTGAGCGAGAGAACATGTGCACCTCAGAAACGTCTAACGCCTATTGTATTTCCTAGTGGGTGTGACTATGAACAAAGCGACCGTCACTTTGATAGAAATGTAACTAGTTAGCTAACCTGTGCTTTCGATGGAGGTGAAAACGCTGTTGTCCCGTGTGCTTAGATTGGGGTGCACGTTAAAGAACCCCAAATGGTAAAATTTGCGGAACCCTCTTCTGCGGCGTCTTTCATAATCATGTCGTAGTTTTGGCATGTTAAACCCCACATATAAATAAATAAATAAATAAATAAATAAATAAATAAATAAATAAATAAATAAATAAATCAGCTTACTTGTGCCGGTAAAAGTAAGTAATTCAAAGTGCAAGCAAAGCGTAATGTACTCGGACAGCGACAATAATTGTCGCTGTCAGAGTACATCTATCTGCGCATAAACCGCAGTTCAAGCCTCATGATTTTTTTTTATACGAGCGATACGCGAGAAAGTAAATTCAATACAAAGTACATGCATTGAAAAACATTGTCAGTGCCGTGAGCAGTTCTGAAACACCCCGATGAAAATGCGCGCCTTGGAAACAACAAATAATCACTTTACGTATTCCGCAAGTTTGCTTCTCTGCATTGCATATTCGCCCAACTAACGGTGGTACCTGCTGTTTATCAAGTGGAAATGAGGCCCTAGTTGCACATGTGCGTGTTTTCCTCATCAGAGCGTAAGCAAGAAAACGCAACAAGCTATTTACTAAGTATTAGCTGGCTTCTCCGTTAAGTGAAGTGCATTGCAGAAAAGCCAGCTTTATACTAACAGAAAGGGTCTTTAAGGTTCACAAAAACGACCCAGGAAGCTACACGGCTTTAGCTACAGAATAATGCATTGTATAAATCAAAAGATAGTTTATCGGCCAACACAAAACCGAGAGTAGTTTTTGAAATCTCTCCTGTAAGCTTCGCAAACGATATTGAAAGATGCCAAAGTGTGCCAAAATTGTGGCCGCTCCCATAGGCTGTGTGGAAAAATATTCAGATTGTCTGGGAAGGAAGACACTTAATGGCACGTTATTGAAATTAGACCTGAAATGTTCCGGTGGTTGCTTAGTATGATAAACGGGGAGTCGTTATTAATAACGTGTCTGGTTCGTGAGATATGATTTTTTTTCTCTTGCGCTTCCCCTTCAGTTATGGTGGCGTGACTGGCCGCCACCGAGAGATGGCGCGACATGTGATGTCCAGAATTCCTGGGGATGGCAGTGTCGTCGGCCTACGGTAATCTTATCATAGGCAGCACGCGTCTTGTATTTATACAGCAGTGATGGCCCATTCCAGCGTTTTCGCTAGTGCATCCGTAAGTTCGCAAGTTAGCAAGAGAACGTGTACTGAGCGTAGTCTGAATAATAATCCTTCAGTTTTTACGTCCTGAAATGTGATGATTAAGTGTACGTAGAGCTCTGGAAATTTTGACCGATTGGTGTTCTGTAACATGCAATAAAATCCCAGTGCATGCTCCTCTAGCATTTCAACTCCATTGAAACGTGGCCATAACAGATTCATATTACAGGTGGCACTCATGATAGCTACGGCAAATAAACCTTACACTATAAGGCGCGTCACCTGTATTGAGCATTTGGAGAGCGGCATCAGAATTTGTGCGGCCATTGCACCCCACGCATTGTAGTGCGCGGCGCTTGTAAGTGGCTAAGAGTAAGTGTCAAGGCTCTGACAAAACTAAAAAGGAGAGACATCTACAACAACAACAACAACAACAACAACAACAACAACAACAACAACAACAACAACAACAACAACAACAACAACAACAACAACAACAACAACAACAACAACAACAACAACAACAACAACAACAACAACAACAACAACAACAACAACAACAACAACAACAACAACCAAACAAACAAACACGTGGACAAGCACGCGAACTTAGTTTCTGTCGAAACTGCGCGATCTCCGTAGTGTCGCTCTGCTTCCCCAAAGAGCCACGCACACCTCATCACCTGCCCTGACTGATGAAGGCTGACGTAAATGTAAAATGACGTCTCTGCTCTTCGTTTTATCAAGGTGGCTTAGTGGCCCCAGTACCAGCTTGAGGAGCGCAGTTTGATCAGCGATTATTGTTTCGATCAGTGTAGCTTTGCGACTGCCGTATCTTGTATCTTAAGATGCATGATGCATTATCGAGTGTAACGTAAATACAGCCACAGATACTCGTCTTGCGAGACGAATCGCGATACAAATACAAGATGCGCAAAAAGTATCTGAGATACTATCTTAGATACATGTATCTTCGATACTGCCCAGCGCTGCTCGTCAACTAAAAGGAAGTAGTGCAGTAGTTGAGAGTACGCTTATAATAGTCACCTTTAACCGGTTATTGCCTGCAGCTTTAACTGAAAAGACTGAAAAAAAGCAAGATGCTTCGAAAGGTAGAAAAATATCCAATTTCACCTCAGGTGGAAAGATTAAGCGCAATAGGAGCCAATCGCCCCCGTATACAAGTTAAGCCTAGTAATTCCATTAGCATCCGCCCTGCCGTGACTACACAAAACACTGGTTTTAGGAGACACCGAGCGAATCGATATACGGGTTTTCTATTGATTCATTGCAAACTGTGCTCTAGGCACACATTAAATACAAATATCTGAGCCGTCTGCTGATCTCTATGAGAAAGTGTGCACGCGACCATGTTCGGCCATTTAAGGCTCCTACTGGGAGCCATGCATACCTAAATCCCCTACCTCCTCCGGTCCTCCACCGGGACTCCCCCGTGAGCTGTCGCCCATGGCGGAAGGAGAAAAAAAAAAAGAGAAATCTTCACGTGATACCGCTAGCAAGCCATCACTACCTGATGCCACCCTTTCCGACCAGCGCGTTGCGCCTCCTTGGCAGGATTGGAAGAGCGCAGTGTTGTCAGCAGATATTAAAAAAAAGTGAGCCTACCAATACTAGCGCTTGCATGCCTATCAAGCTACCAGAGTGGATTTCTAACCTAAATTGTTAGACTATGCTTCAAAATTGTAACGCGATGAACCCTCGTAGCGCTTTCTTCCTCCATGCTTTCGCACGAAGATGGGTGGCTCGTTTTCTCCCTGGTTGAGCCGTCATAATCGGCTACCCTAGCAAAGTTTCTTTTGCACTTGAAGCAGACGACATGGCACGATATTATAATCATTTGACTCATGGCGACCACGACGGAAAAAAATAGCCCCGACGATAGCTGACCATACCGAAAAAGTAGCTGACCATACAATGTAGTTGTGTATTTGGGACTCGGGTCAACGTTTTGTACGTCTGTCATATCTGACATACGTGTCTAATCTGATCCGCCAGCAATCCTCAGAAGTACATTAGAAATATTGTCAGTTTTTCATTACATCGATGTTAAAAGATTGGCCATCCACCCAAACTTCTACTGTACTCTCATTAATTCGGCGTTATGCAGTGTTTTGAAGTACACGACTGTGAAGGGCAAGGGAAAGCTTCATAAACGCTCCCAAACATACGTTAATACACCACGTGAATTATGAGAGTGCTGTAACATCTCTTACGAAAGCTAATAGCTAGCACTTTGTGTCTACAGTAGACTTTGGGCATAAAATGGGATGATTATTCCATATAGTGGCATAGCCAATTAATGAATGGATCGAGCCTCTCACGTTTAGTAGGGGGAGGAGGGAAAATCGGTCGCTTGAGGTGAGGGGGGGTTGTCACTAATAGTTACTAGTAGTTACTACCACGACAAAAACCCTATGACAGCATGAATACAGTGCATTTGTGCTCACAGTGGTTTCACTGCTGTCACAATCGATCGTAAGAGATTGACGACAGGCACTGCAGAGTTGGGAGTGGTGGTGCCGACACATGCTTTGTGTGGGCGATTGCCCCCGCCGCACTTTACCGTCAGAATCCCCCGCCCCGCCGCGGTGGTCTAGTGGCTAAGGTACTCGGCTGCTGACCCGTAGGTTGCGGGATCGAATCCCGGCTGCGGTGGCTGCATTTCCAATGGAGGCGGAAATGTTGCAGGTCTGTGTGCTCAGATTTGGGTGCACGTTAAGAACCCCAGGAGGCTGAAATTTCCGCAGCCCTCCACTACGGCGTCTATCATAATCACATGGTGGTTTTGGGACGTTGAACCCCACATATCAATCAATCAATATTCTTAGGGTCCCCCACAAAGCCAATCACTTGATCTACGATTTCACTGTTGTCCATGTGTTTCGTTAAGAAACGGTCACATGCTTACCATAATTCCTTTGTTGTCAACGGCACCCAAAAGGGCACGGGCGTACATGTACAGGATGCCACCATGCAACATGGCGTTGGTGCCATCGGCATAGTAAAGTGGTGGTGCCAGCGCTCCCAGGGAGAGGGATAGACGGTTGAGCATGTCTACGTAGTTCACGTACGGCAACTTGGCATTGTCGCCGAGCACCAACTCCTCAGCGGCCGCATCAGATCCGAACAGTTGGCGTTGACTGCGGTGCGTCTCAATCCAGAACTTTGTAAACGAGGAAGCGTGGTCGGGAAAGCTTTTGTAGACTTCCTCCAGCACGTTCGCAGCCAGAAACTTCTTCGAAGGCCACAAGACTGTGCGGACGTTGCTCAGCTTCTCCACCGCCATATTTTTGATCTTGGCGTCCAACCACTCACAGGCCCTCGTTTTGTTCGACGCCACCTGCGACAGAAAAACAATGCGCCACAATTCTATATGAATATCGGTCGTGCCTTTGTGTGGATATTATAAAAAAAGTCACAGCTTTGCCACAAAGGTGAAGTGATGGACGCGATAGCAATAAATTGAAAGATCACGCGCAGAATGGCAAGCAGATGGAAACGTGCCCCGCGTTTCTCACGCACAAGTGACGCACGAAACGTACTCACAGGTACAGATGAACGCGAATAAGCGTCTCAGTTGTTACTTTGCTGTGTCTGAAAAGCGTGCCCTTTTCACAAATGGACGCTATGCAATGATTGCAGCGACATTTGTGCACCCAGTAAATACAACAGAATCGCTCCAGTGCAAGTCTAACGCCAGCCAAAACGTATTATCCTCCCCACCGTGCAATAAGGGCGCGCGAGAGATAGTCCACGCATCACCCCGTCCACTCCCTCCCCTCCGCGGGCTGAAGAACGCGTAAGAAATGAGAGCCGCCGTGCGCTCATTGCGCCATCTTGCTGATAATGCTGAAAGAACAATAGTCCCCCCCCACCTCTTCCGAGATGCCCGCCAACAGCGGTAAGTGGCAAATATAAATAGCTTGCCGTTTAAAAGTTGAAGGAGTTACCCCTTGGTGGCTGAGTGGTTAACGTCTCGCATTCACGACGTGGAGGTTCCACGAGTGATCCTGTGCGCCGGAGTCTTTTTCTGGATTATATTCTTTCTTGCGTTTTCATGTATATATATATATATATATATATATATATATATATATATATATATATATATATATATATATATATATATATATATATATATGGAGGAGCCCTAGTGGCGAAAATAAGAACGAAATAGACTTTATAATGACTGCACACCCAGGAATCGTGAAGGATGTGGAAGTGGTTGGCAAGGTACGATGCAGTGACCATAGAATGGTACGGTCTCGAATTCACCTAGACTTGAAGAAGGAACGACAGGAACTGATACGCAAGAAGCCAATCAATGAGCTAGCACTGAGAGGGAAAGTACAGGAATTCATAGTGTTGCTGCAGAACAGGTACTCGGCTCTTAGTGAGGAAACCAACCTTAGCGTAGATACAATGAATGATAATCTGACGAGTATCATTACGGAGTGTGCAGTGGAAGTTGGAGGCAGGGTAGTTAGACAGGACACTGGCAAGCTTTCCCAGGAAACGAAGAACCTAATTAAGAAGCGTCAAATCATGAAAGTCTCAAGTACAACTGACAAAATAGAACTGGCAGAGCTTTCGAAGTTGATTAATAGGCGTAAGGTATGCGATGTAAGAAGGTATAACATGGAGAGAATTGAACACGCTCTGAAAAACGGAGGAAGCGTCAAAGCAGTGAAGAGGAAACTTGGGATAGGCGAAAGTCGGATGTATGCACTAAGGGACAAAGAAGGCAAAATAACTACCAATATGGATAGGATAGTTGAAATAGCAGAGGAGTTTTACAGAGATCTGTACAGTAGCCGAGACAACCACGACCTTAATACTATAAGAACTAGCAGTAACCCAGATGACACCCCACCAGTAATAATAGAAGAAGTCAGAAAACCTTTGGAGAGCATGCAAAGAGGCAAAGCTGCTGGTGAGGATCAGGTAACATCAGACCTGCTGAAAGATGGAGGACAGATTGTGTTAGAAAAACTAGCCACCCTATTTACGAGGTGTCTCCTAACGGGAAGGGTACCAGAGTCTTGGAAGAACGCTAACATCATCTTAATACACAAGAAAGGAGATGACAAGGACTTGAAGAATTACAGGCCGATCAGCTTGCTCTCTGTAGTATACAAGCTATTTACAAAGGTAATTGCTAACAGAGTAAAGAAAACATTAGAATTCAATCAACCGAAGGAACAAGCAGGATTTAGAACAGGCTACTCAACAATTGACCACATTCATACTATCAATCAGGTAACAGAGAAATGCTCAGAGTATAACCAATCACTATACATAGCCTTCATAGATTACGAGAAGGCGTTTGATTCAGTAGAAATATCAGCCGTCATGCAGACACTGCGGAATCAGGGCGTAGATGACGTATATATAAACATTCTGGAAGAAATCTACAGGGGATCAACTGCTACCATAGTGCTTCATAAAGAAAGCAACAGAATACCAATAAAGAAAGGTGTAAGGCAGGGAGACACAATCTCCCCAATGCTATTTACCGCGTTCTTACAGGAGGTTTTCAGAAGCCTAGAATGGGAACAGTTAGGGATAAGAGTTAATGGAGAATACCTTAGTAACTTGCGCTTCGCCGATGACATTGCATTGCTGAGTAACTCAGGGGACGAATTGCAACTCATGATTACGAAGTTAGACAAGGAGAGCAGAAAGGTGGGTCTTGAAATTAATCTGCAGAAAACGAAAGTAATGTACAACAACCTCGGAAAGGAGCAGCGCTTCGAGATAGGTAATAGTGCACTTGAAGTTGTAAAAGACTATGTCTACTTAGGGCAGGTAATAACCGCAGAGCCTAACCACGAGATTGAAGTAACTAGAATAAGAATGGGGTGGAGCACATTAGGCAAGCACTCTAAAATTATGACAGGTAGTTTGCCACTATCCCTCAAGAGGAAGGTATATAACAGCTGTATCTTGCCGGTACTTAGCTACGGAGCAAAAACCTGGAGACTTACAAAGAGGGTTCAGCTTAAATTGAGGACGACGCAGCGAGCAATGGAAAGAAAAATGGTAGGTGTAACCTTAAGAGACAAGAAGAGAGCAGAGTGGATTAGGGGACAAACGGGGGTTAAGGATATCATAGTTGAAATAAAGAAGAGGAAATGGACATGGGCCGGGCATGTAGCGCGTAGACAGAATAACCGCTGGTCATTAAGGGTAACTAACTGGATTTCTAGAAAAGGGAAGCGGGTTAGGGGGAGACAGAAGATTAGGTGGGCAGATGAGATTAAGAAGTTTGCGGGTATAAATTGGCAGCAGCAAGCACAGGACCGGGTTAACTGGCGGAACATGGGAGAGGCCTTTGTCCTGCAGTGGACGTAGTCAGGCTGATGATGATGATGATATATATATATATATATATATATATATATATATATATATATATATATATATATATATATATATATATATATATATATATATATATATATATATATTATATATATATATATATATATATATATATATAACGCCGGCGGCACAGTCCAGCCGAGAGTGTCCATCATATAATTGCTATTGCAATGAAAATTTTGACCTGTACATGTGCTTGCAAATAACGTTAATATTGTGCTCTCATGATATTGAGAACTGTGGTCATATTGGTTGGAAATACTTGAGACGTGCTTTTGCTTCGCGGTGTGTTGCTATCACCGTTCAGCTACCGTGGGTTTAGAGAAATTTATTCTCACAGACAGTGAACATCAATTACAATCCAACAGAACAATGCGAAGAAACACAACATCCACAGACACACCAAAAGTTGTTACATAAAGATACGTGTACATATGTAAACGGAACACAACATACACAACTTACCCAACTAAACAGGAATTGTTACAAAAACAATGTCTAGAAAATTGAAATTGCTCCAGCCACAGTTCAAATAGAGTCCGACGTTTCGAGACCGACTCGGTCCCTTCCTCAGGGGGTGACTGTCTTGGTGATGAAAGTGTCGTCGCGTCGTGTTCTCTCACCACGGCTCCGGCTTTCCCTTTCCACCACGTTTCGGAGACCGTGAACGTTCACCGAAGGCATTGATCCCAGCGAGCGGTTTACGTTGGCAGGCGTATGCTGAATGTGCCAAGACTCGAGCAAGAGCCTCTTTCCCCAAAAAAAAAAAAAACTATGTCTACATATGCACAATACATGGTAAACGAAGAACACACAAATGAAATGTTGAGATCAATATGTCATATATTTACATAGTATTTACAAGGTATTTGTACGAGTACTAAACAAAGATTAACCTACCAATACCAGGCAGGCCTGAAAACAAGCCTTACACGTCTCTCACAGATGAACACAAAACGGCAGGACCAGTGTCGAAGGAATTCCTCCTCACCCAGAAAGAAGAGTTCCTCCGACAACACAGATATTATTTCTTTGTACAGTCGCTCCAAAATCGGGAAGAGAGCACGGCGGCGACGACCTGCTGCAACAGCTTCACAACGGTTACGCCAAAGACAGTAGGCACTAGCAACAATAAGAAGGCAGGCAAAGCGGCCTCGAGAACAACGTCCAGAAGAAACAAAACGGTTTACTCCGAGGCCACGAAATCGTGCATGCACAGCCCTCCAGAAAACACGAGCAACGACACATTGCCTTAACACATGCTGATTTGTTTCTTGTAGGGAGCAGTTCGGAGATGTTGATGACTGGACCATTCTCCACCTTTCTAGGCGGTCAAGGGTAGGAAGAACGCCCCACCCAAGCCGCCACATGAAGTCCCGGAGGTGGCCAGGTAGAAATGATGCCGTCAACGTGCTCCAAGACACACGACTAGAGCGGGTGCGGCGTGCTGGAGGAACTAACGGGAACAAAACGTGGCTGTTGTGTCAACGATAGAATTGTCTAACACATCTAAATCAGGGCAAGTCGACTGGATATGACGAAAAAACGTGACAGCTGTTGCATAAAACAAAGGAAGTACTAATGATTGTGGGCCCTGGTTAAGGCGCACATTAGGCAATAAATATAGAAGGTGAGTGCCTAGAAAATAATATGCCAGAGTTCGCGCGGGGGATTCCTCTCCTTGTACGAGGCACAACAGGAAGCGCAGGGCCAATAGCCGGCAGCGTATTGATACCAAAGGGAAAGCAAAACCTCCCTGGGAACGCTGCTATCCTAACGCCGCACGAGAAACCAACTCAGTGCCGCCAGACTAAAAGAAGGAACACAAGGCAGACTTCAATGACCTCACGATGCCTAAAGGCGGCTGTTCCACGTGAGAAAGGTACCAAATGCGACCGCAGAACACAGTCTGCGCAAGATACCTCTGCTCAAGAAGCGGGAAGTCGAATTCCCGGG